GCCGGAGCCGGGCAAAATTTGTTGTAGTAGATAGTGAGGAAGTCGTCATGCTAAGGCCCCATATATAGGACCAACGCATAAGAAAAAACAACCATCGTCGATGAAGACTAGCGTAGATCAAACTGATCTAATCTGAAGACACTCAAATGTAGACGAATGACGACCAGATCCGAGCAAATCCACCCAAAATAGATCCGTCGGAGACTTATCTTTACATGCCTACCGATGATGCTAGATGCACCACCGGAATGGGGGCTAGGTGGGGAGAACCTTATTTCATTTTAAGGTAGCCGCCACCGTCTCGCCTTCCTGAGCAGGACACAAACCCTAACAAAAACTCGAAGAAAAATGTGAAAGCAGAGCCCTCCCACCGGCAAGGGCCGGTATCCACTCCTCTCCCATAGCCCTAAGGCCACCGTTGCGAGGCGGATAGGCGGCGACGCTGGCGGGAGGCAGAGAAACCCTTGTACATGTGTATTCGAGTGGAATACATCAATCCAACTGGGTCCTTAGCAGTGGCGGAGCTACATGCAGTCCTGGGGTGGCCATTGCCCTCCAGCCTTGGCCTAATCACTGAAGGAATTTTTTTGAAGGGTTAGATCTTTTGCTAGCTCCGCCACTGATCCTTAGGATTCACTTTACAACTCTCAACTGTACTTTGGCTCAAGTGTCACAACCATTCATTATACAACTTTGAGATGGATTAAGGATGAGTCGTGGCTCGATGGTTGGGGTTGGCAGTGGCCATCGAACCCACCAATGATCGATTCCCTGGATGGATGTAGGTATCTCATCCGTGTTATTTTCTCCTTCAGGTATCTCACGGGTCTACGTGCCACAGGATTAATGACGTATCTATTGGTCCAGGGCCGGTCCTGAGATTTCGGGGGCCCGGGGCGAACTAAAAATTGGGGGCTCTTAATATACAAGTCATTGTAATATACTTTTGTGTAAAAAATGTATATATAAATTATTATCAGTAGCAATTGAATGGATCCAAAATCAGTATGCGTATCAAATAATTTATTACCTTAAAATTCACTTCTAACATTCCTCGATGCAAAGTCACTTATGATGGGGTTGATGTCAATCTCATCCAATAATTTCTTCTCGATGCATGATGTAGCCAAACAATTTAACCTATCTTGAGTCGATGTTGACCTCAAATAATTCTTCAATAATTTCAATTTCAAAAAATTTCTTTCGGCCATACGACTGTCACAGCCACAGTAGATGCGATAGGCAATGGAGATATTAGGATAACAATCAACTTCTCTGACATGTCCGAAAATCTCCATAGCAGACATTACCCCATCTGGCAAAGTGAATCTCATAATCTTCAATTCAGAAATAAGATCGTATACCTCAACATCAGATGAACCATTAAGACAGGAAGTTTGTACAAATTTTGTACAACATTCAAGTTAATTATCACTTAATGACGTCAGGGTGCCAGAGCTCAATACAAATCGGAATATATCTTTAAACTCCACGAGTTCTTTGAATCTATCATTCAAAGAATTGGTCGCCATATCAACCAAAACACTAAAATATTTAACTCAGAAAGCCTTCTTAGCTTCTAGAATTTCTTCTTGACAATCACTTTCGTCAAACTGTTTCTTCCTCGTAGCAGCTAAAAACACCATGAGAAGCAAATAAAACTGTTTAGGATCAGTGTTAGAAGCATGACGTAACTCAGACAAAGCTGACATTAACTCAGTGGCATCTGATGAGTTACGTACATTCTCGGAGCCACTTACATTGTTATTGCCTATGTTGGAGTTGATATTTTCTTCTTGCAGATCAGAGTCCAAATTTTCATTAGTTTGTTGCTCTTTCACTATAGCAACAATCGCCAACGCATCATCTGGGTTTGGCGAAGTAGTGGAAGCACCAATATTACTTGGCTTGAGAAATTTGTGAATACCTCCGCGCTGTGAGTGTATCAGTTTATTCACTAACTTCTTTTTTCCTTTTGTCGCTGCCCCATGGACATTTCCTCTTGCTGGGTGGCATGAGAACAAACACAATGCTGAAAAAAAATGTATCAATTGTTGAACGGCGCTAGCCCTGAACAAAAGAATTTCTTGTGTGAATAATAGACCTCAAACCTGATGTCCAGAATCCTGATGATGTCGAACTTCTGTAGTCTGTACGTTTCTGAAGTCTACAGATGACCGAGAGGAGAGGAGAGCAATTGAGCATGAAGATGGGGGCCTCAGAATTGAAATCGGCGGCGAACATAACCAGATTAGGAAGGAGATTACCAGGGGACGGCGAGGTGGGAGTGCATCTGTGCGTGTGTGCGTGTACGGCGTCGGCGGCTAGCAGCTAGGGCTGGGACGTGGGAATCGTTGCCGATTCTTCGTGATGGAATAGTCAAACGTAACAGGAAGGAAACCATCCAGCCGCTGATTGCTGGCTATCTTTCCTTTTTTCCTGAGGATCTCTCGCTACCTTCCCTGAGAACAAACGTCTCCTATACTCCCGTTCGTCAGACTGCAGTACTATTGGCCATAGGCCTACATACATACCTCGGATGGCTTCGGAAATTTCTCTAGGCGTGTGGTGTGTGTTGTGCACATGTGCTAGTATATGACATGTATCCATGTAACATGTAACCGAGGCAAAAAAAACTTTAAAATGGATTAATCTGATTTTTCGCCTCTCTATAACGTCAGGTCTTCCAAGAAAATGCTCACGTGTGTGCTCTATTCTCTCCTTCGCTCAATTCGTACAGAGAGAGACCGCGGCGCCACTGAATTTGCCACCGCCAGTAAGGACCTCAACAATATCCGCCTTCACCTTGAATCACTCACCAAGTAGGTCTGCTTACGTGCCTAGAATCTCGCTAGTACAATCATCAATGATTGTAACATAGCGATTTGATAATAACATCCGTTTATTCTACAGAAGAAAACAGTGGTGGCAAAAGGGAAGAGCTTTTTCTCTTAGCCCAGTATGCAGGAAGAGCACGGAACAAACAGCAATGGCGTTCCTCCAGCGGCCGGAATAGGCCAGCCAATGTAGATACAGAAACAGTACTGTTTCCTCTTTTGTTTGCAGGTTTCATAAGTTTACTTTTGCTCTCTTCCTTTTTTATTCCCCATTTCTTTATTTTATTCCATTTTCAAATGATGAACCTTTTTAAAACACATGCACTTTTTCCAATTCGTGAACTTCTTAAAATTCATAAGCTTTTTTTAATCCATCTGTATTTTAAAATTCATGAACATTTCCTAAAATTCCTGAACACTTTTAACAGTCTAGGATATATAAAATTCTTCTACACTATTTTATTATGGAATATTTTAGAAAATTAGTGAAATTTGGTTAGATTTTGCAACATTTTTCAAACTTCACAAACAATTTTCGCGTTTTTATTTTTTTAATGGATGCAGTCGCCCGTTTTTAGGAAAGAAAACAAAACCGTTCAGCTCAACCCAAGTAGCCACCTCTATGACAATCATGAAACAAATCACCAAACTTGTAAATGGGTCGGGCCTATCGCGGGTGCCAGCGTGTGGGTTTGCTCACCATCCAGCACAGTAGGAGAGGGGGAGCTCCTATTTGGCGTATCAAGTGTCCCAAGCGCTCTATAGTGCTCTCACGGAATGCACGGCGAGCTGCGGCCCATTAGCGCGCTCACTCCCCACAGTTGCTTCTATCGCTCACTCGCTTGGCCATTCTATCCACTGCTCACAAGCCATCTACAATATCAGTATCTTCTAACTAAAAGAAGGAACTAATTTCTGGTATTTTATAGATTAAAGAAATCATACTTTTAAATAAAATTTAGGGATTTGAAAAAAATAGTCACAAATTTGATAGTGATTATGGATTTAAAAAAATATGAATTTTTTATCTCGGGAATTTAGTTTTTCCCAAATTTAGAAACATCGTGGACTTTAAAAACTTAAGAATTTTAGTTTTTTATATGAAAATTATAAAACCATAGGGCGGAATGCATGGCGCGCTGCGACCCATTAGCGCGTTCACTCCCCTCAGCCGCTTCTCTCGCTCACTCGCCTGGCCATTCTATCCACTTGCTCCCTAGCCATCTGTAACATCAGTAGCTTCTAATTAAAATAAGAAATTCATACATTTAAAAAAGTTTACGAATTTGGAAAAAATATTCACAAATTTTATCGTGTTTATGGATTTAAATAATATGAATGTGGCTTTTCTCCGGAACCTAGTTTTTTCCAAATTTTAAAAAATTGCTGGATTTTTAAAAATTAATAATGTTAAATTTTTTATGAAAATTTCAAAATGAAATATTTCTATTGTCATGAATTGTTAAATTATAGTTGGAAAAAATGATAAAGAGCCAAAAACAAAAATGTAAATGATGAAACGAAAACCAGCAAAAGGAAACAAAAAAAGAGGAAAAAGAAGAAATAACTGTCGAGAAGATCCTAGAAGCTTTTCAAAACCAGTTTCTGTAGGAAGCTTATTTTGTGTCGACACGTTTACTTCACTTGCTCACTCTAGGTGTGCGCTATTGGGTATTCCCCCACCACTATGCCGAGGCAAAGGGTTTTGCCACAAAACGGTATGCTTTTAAAAAGAATAGTTCTTGGACAAAGGTGAGTGGGAGGACAGTGCAACTCGACGAGATAACAAGTATCTTCGTCATCAGGTCAAAAGAAAGGAACCTTGGAAGTGATTCCAGAGTTTCCTACTGCGACTGATATGGAAGCCTCTACATGAGATGTATGAACTTCGGTCGAACTTGCAGCTGAACAACGTAGGCAAAGCTCGTGCAAACCTCTCAGGTGCGCAAACGAGATTGTTGTTAGACAATAGTATACCTACGATACACAAGGAAGTGTTGATGGGCCCTTGACTCTGGAATTGGCTAAATGCCAATATAATCCGAGATAGTTTCCATAAATGATTCAAGATTTAAATCTTGATAAACCCTCCGAAAGACTTAGAGTCTAACGGGTTGTAATGAGACTATAAACTGATACGGATAAAAATGTTTTAGCCATTAAGCTCGACTTGTTGCAATAACAAGTTTAAGGAGTTGACTACAATGAGATTGTCTCACCGTAGCAATGCTTAAAGTCGGTTCGGAGGATGCTAGTAAGTATGCAATAGATATGAAACATGGATGACAAAAGACTTTCCATGACATGGAAATACAACCTAGGACTTGTATGTGATACAATCCAAAGTATTTTGTCTGTCCAGAGGATGCTAGTAAGTATGCAAACTTCAGAGTTCCAGCGGCGGAAGTTAGGGTTGAAACCTAAAAACTGATACCATGTATGTTGTGGGAATTGCATGATGTGTTATTCAGGTGCAATCGCATGTATATATGATGTAAAACGATGGACCACGACCTCAACTATACAAGAAAACTAGAAGGTGGGCCCAATACACAATATGCATAACACATATACTCAACAGATTCTTTGCCTGCTGCACCTGAGGATGCGACCAAGTACTCTTATTGTTTCTACATTGCCGTGTGGCTACGCATGCTCCAAGCACCTTCTCCATGCATAGGTGGGCACTGACATGGTTAGACCTCCAACATATCTGGTAAGTGTTAGCCTCGGCATTATGATGGAGATAATTATCGCCTTGGGCAGCAGCAGCATCTCGTCGAGTTGGTCTGGATGAACATCTACATGTGTGAGGAAGTTTTGCTTCTCTCCACCGATCACCTCTATCACAGTACCAGCAGGTGTCGGGTCCTCCAAAGAGTCGTGAGGCAGGAGCAAAATTCCGAGCTTCAATGGCAGAAAATTCTCCAAAGAATAGGTGTTGTCAGAACCAGAAGTTGGGGTCGACCCCGTTAGTTTACTGTACTTGGATAGTGAGATGTGACGCTGCAACAAAACTGACATACTGGTTCTGGAAATATGCTTGATAGTCTCAATTTCTGTCCACCATTTCTGCTGCTACTTTCACTGTTGTCATGACAAGAATCGTATCCTTGACAACATAATGGATCTGGGCGGAACCATCGAGTCAAAGTTGTATGGACGCTGTTCCAGTGCTCCATGTGAGCAACACGAGAAATCTTGCGTAGGGAGTTGGTGATCTCTTTGATAATAACGTCTGCTGTGGACTTGAAGTGAGGTGTCACCAGACGTAAGCATTTTACTGCAGTACCGATTATGTTTGTACTCTCCGAAAGACGCAGCATCACCCCAAGCCGAAAACTGTTCTTGGGTTGCTTGTAATCTTCGTATGTATATAAAGGATAGCAAGGCCTCCAGTCCACGCTCCTCGAAACCCATTGGCTGTATAGTGAAGTGGCGATACTGGCCTCTCGGAGAGA